ACACGCACGCGCGCAGTCCCTGTTCTTCCTAGGGGTCGGCCATGTTAGATCGATAGATCCGACACTCAGTAGTCTTCAGCAGAACTGAGGAAGAGTTGCAGGTGACATCAACGAAGCCGACCTCCGGTTAGCTTGACGTATGTAAACACTGTGTGGGCGGTCCCAAGTATAGACGAGGTGCTGCAGACCTCCAACTGGGATTTAGAAGTCTGTGCTAGTTGGATGTTCAGCTGTTGTGCAGTGTCAGTTCGATTCTGAATTAGGAAGAGAAATGCCGAGCATGGCTGCCAGTCACGGAGGAATCCTCTATTACGTAGTTAAGGTGCCAAAGGAAACAAGGTTGGTTACTCCAGGATCGATTGGACGTGACATTCTCATATTTGAACACGTTCAGGTGGGATGGGTTTAGTTAGCATTCTGTCATAAATGATCGCAGTGTGATACATGAAATTTGCGTGTTTAACATTACTTTCAGGCAGCTCAGTAGTTTTGCTGTTCATTCGAAGTGGCGATGATAACTCCACGCGAACATTCGTTTTATTTCGGGTTCGTATCCAGGATCTTGTACTAATGGAAGTTTCATAACGAGGTGGTGATTGCTCGTTTCCAGTTACATCAACAGATAATGATCCATGGAGTTTTGTGAATGAATTCCTTCCGTGAGCGGTCGTATGAAGGTGAAACGTCTGTTAAGTGACGTAATATGTTAGAATGAATGAACAAGGTTACTTGCAGTGTTTTGTACCACGAGCTTACATGTCATGTGTTCAGTTTTATAACGTGTCACTTGAATATGTGTGACGTGTTTCGTTAACAGTCTGGAAAGTTACTTGTGTTAAACCATTCGGACTTTTCGTGTTGTGTCATCCAATTTAAATAGTGCCCTTTGTAGCCTCTAGAGTATATGCTATCGCTAAATTGTGTAATTTCGATATAATGACAACATTTTACATCTTACCTAGTTACTTCATATAATACCTAATTATTCCACGAAATAACTGTTTTGAAGACATTTGAAATGTGAAAGAATGGGTATCGTCTAGGTATTTCCATACATTAACTGAGGTTAGGTTAGTGCAGGTAGGTTAGGTCATGTTACATCAGGTTAGGTAATTATATCTTTAAGCAAATCTTTCAGTTCAAACAGGCTTAAAAAAATAAATTAACCTAACCTAACTTATCATAGGTATTGTGGGCAATGTATTTTCACAATTTATGTTGGCAAAATTTTGAAACCACTACTTCTTTTTTACGCGTTACCTCCATGCTTTTCTTTGGGTTACCTACTTACAAAAATGTTTGTGTTTTAACTTCAACGTTCATTTGTTATTTGAAATACATACGTATTCTACGAAATAGCCTATTCTATGTTTTAAAGATAATATCCATAATATGTAATGCTGACGCTCAGCTGAATAACAGATAACAGGAATCGTCTGGCAAATCATTTGTGTGACTTCTTCGTCCATCGACAGTTTTTTCATCTTCCAAGAAGAACATCTGCCCAAATCGTTATGCTGTTGGTAACCTTAAGGCACAGTGCAGTTTGTATCCATACGACAACAGGTGTTTTGAGTCGCAAACGAACGCTCTTCGGAAAGTAATACTCGATACGAATATCAGCCGTGTTACGGGCTCCATTGTCGGTTTCTGTGCTTTTCCTCCGTTCAGGCAAATGCTGGTCATATACGCAGTTTACTTCTCTCTTAATCACTTCACACTCACCAGTTATTAGTCTCTCAACTGGCCAGGAAATTCCATGCCTTTTATGGAAACCGATGTTTAATTGCTGTTAAGAACGCTATCTTCTCGGATGTTACGCCTTGTCATGTGGTGGATATTGACCGACGTTTCAGAGAAGTTTACTACCTCCATTGACATTGATAGTGCCCTTGGGTTTCACTGACGAACATTTTGTATATATTTCAACTGCTGCGTGTGTGCTACGTGGCTGTGGCTGGCTTATGTGCACCTTTGGTGTCATAGATGAATATTGTAACCAAATATTTCTACTGGACACACCTCGTAGGACGGGGGTGGGGGAGTTCTATTGATTTCATGATCCATTATTCAGCCATTTAATTTTGTGTTTTGTGAGGTTCGTCGTGCCAGACAATGTTATTTTTTAGGTGTAGGCAACCGCTTAAAATTTTTAGTGTCTCTTAGCTACATTCCAGACGTGGACTGACTTTACTGTGAGACGGACCGACTGGTTTTGGAGTGATGTTACCCACATTCTTACAAACTTTCAAGGCATTTATGGCTAGGTGTCCATTTAACATTTAAATTTGTTTTCTGAAATAGATAGATATTTCTTCTTAAATTCAGTTTTTATACTTGAAAATTTGGACCTAACTAAATGAATTAGGGAAGGGGAAAGGGTGTCATTCTTAGTGCCCAGTTTAGAAACTCGATCTAGACTTCTTTCAAGAGCGATCTTGCTCCAACTTGCATATTCTCAGAAATGCAAAGGAATAATGATTCGTCTGTGGGCTTGGGAGGCTCTTATTCGTAACTTTGGTACCTTTTTTATGTTGCATATACGCGCCACTGGTCCATGTCTTGATCCATATGAATCCGTTTAATATCCTACGTATCGTATTCCTTATAAGGGCGATTTTAATATTATCATGTATTTACGCCTCGGTCTCTCAGGTGGTCTCTTCAGTATTGCCAACTAAGACGTATGCATTTCTCACTGTACTTTTACTCTCATTATACATTTTTTAGCCTCCCGCCATTTACTTCCTCTTAGGTCGTGAGCACAATTTTCTAAAATAAAAAACCCTCAGTGTGCGTTATTTTATAAATGCGAAAGACGAATTTCATACTCGTACAAAAACAAATATCTATGTGGCATTCGTAATATTTATTTTGCAATTTGTTGCAATTTCCCTGTAGTCGAGTGTTTTGGTTGTGGGTACTAGGTACTTTACGTCTGTACCTTAAATATTAGCATTTCATTGACCTTACTGAAGTCTTTAATAAAATTGCGAACTACTAAAATAAAATAAGCTAATTATTTTAGATGCTGACAGTTGCGTTTGGGATGTAATTAAGATGAAATTGTCTCCATCAATGAGGCGTGGAGCAAAGCTATTCTCGTGTTGGCTGGAAGAATGGTAGAAAAATTTATTGACAATACTGGTGGCTCTGATTTTCAGTTGTTGATTAGTGTGACCTCGATGTAGAAAATTGAATGTCGCAATGGGAAGTTGCAGGATGGGCGTTTCTCGGCTTTATTGCGTCAAGACTGAAAATGACCTGGGAGGCGTAGTCCCAGTTTAAAATTGTGTTCTGAAGAGCAGGATCGTTTTGTGTGTCATAGTTTTAGGCCGCCCTTGCGTTTATATCACAGGTTTTAGTTTGCTTGGTTCTGCGTTTGTTTTGTGTTTGTGGAAGCCTTGCAGGAAGCCATTTCCCCATCTATGGACTTCTGTCGTGAGTGTGAAACGTAATCATTCTTAGCCGACACGCCTAAGTGCGTACAAAATTTAATTTATGTTACTAAAGTTGCCGATAGAGTTTGTTGGAGCACTTATGCGTGTTCCATATAAATACGTCACACATCACTATTAGGAATCTCTATTCATGCTAACTTTTTCTGTTGGCATGTGACGTATCGTTGTTGAAAAGCCACGTTGAGGGTTGGCAAGACACGTTTCATTTGTATCACAAAATACAGTTTAAAAGAACCACCGCTTTTTTAAATCGAGATATCGCGTGCATTGATAATGCCTGGCTTGTACGTCACGTCATAACTTATATATTCTCTGCGTGGTTTGCGCGGTTTGCGCGCGTTTGTTTGTTTGTTTGTTTGTTTG